GCCCAGATCAACCTGGAGCCATTGACTGGGATCATTGCTGAGAGCTGACCAAGACCCTGCTTTGTTTCCAGTTGCTTTCAAGTTTAATCTGCCTTGGGTGGCAGCGTGACTGGCATCCAGTTGCGATGAGGCAGTAATCTGTCTGTCAGAGATCTCACCGTTTTCCATGCCGAGATCTTTTTGACATTCTAAATATTTCATGGAATAAATGCATTTTATGGAAAAAATACATTTCAACAGGCCAGGTAACAAAAATGAAAAACAAACGAACAAACAAACAAACAAACAGACAAACAAACTTGGCGTAAACCAGAAGTAATGGAGGAATATGGCCAATCATTTAGAAACCCAGTCATTAAAAAGAATCTAGTGTCTACCTTATTACCTTCATTTTGTTTCCAAGGAATTTGTTTACATGGCTCTTTAGTGAAGGAAACGTCATCAATAGCTAAAAACTGTCTACCATTGAAACCAACGAAATAAATCTATAACAAAATGCAGGAAAAGTAGTCAAAAAAAAGGCTATCAAAAAAGTAGTCAAAAATACTTTTCAAAATAGGCTAGATCGAATTTAATCAATATCTACTTTAATGGCTTAAAGAAAATAGTTTAACAGCGACCAGTGGAAGAATTGGAGAGCTAAAGCTGTTACAGGGAAATTAAATGATCTAAGGTACATTTTTCGCAAATCTTTGCTCACAGTTAAACAAGAGGAGTAAACAATCATGGTTTACTTGGAGTGTGAGTAGTAGGAGGTTTCTTAATACCTTTGAATTAGTGGAATTTCTAGATAGGGGCATCTGTGTATACTGCGCCTTATGTGTCACGTCATCCGCAAAGAAAAGGAGCGTCACTTGGTTTGACGTTGATGTCCTTAGTAAGACCATTAACGACGCTGTATGCCAGTCTCGCGCGTCCTTAGTGCCAATGAAATACCAGAAACGTAAACACTTCCATTCGTAATCATGGATGTTGATGACCGGAGATGAGAGGGTTGAAGGCAGGTCAGAAGCTCCAGCAGGGAGAGAAGCAACGAATCCACCTTATAACAGAATGTCACATGATGTATTGGTCAGTGCTAACTAAGTGTTCTCACTAGGCCCACTAATTTCAATTAGCAAAGCATGTCTATCAATTCTGATAGCCATGCCTACTTCTGTTCCTAATTTACGGATCATTCTATTTTTCGCTATTGTCCAATGGCTAATTTTCATTTGCTCATCTTCGACATCAATTTGACAATCACTTATTTTTCATACCTTATTACTCAAACCTCCTTAACATAAATATGTTGTAAAACATCCAAATACATTGTGACTTACGGAAAAGAGCGCCTACCAGATGTTTCAAATGCCTCTATGCGTGTTGTTAGAACCCATCCCTGTTGAGCATCCCAATCACACATACTCTCTTCAAAGTCGCAGTCTGGACTTGCTGGAGAATAAGACAAAAATCGTTACTACTGCCGTCGGGGAGAGAAATACCATTTTAAAGTCAGAATTCCTTCTATGCGAATTAGCTAGGCATTTGGTATTTGTGAACAGTGGAATGTTGTTTACATATCGCAGTTGAAAACAAACGGTGACGTCGCCCTTGAATCGAAAGTAATTAGCCAAAATTGGGATGAGAGAATTATTGATTTGTAGTTTACATTTACACAACTTACCCTGTTTTATAATTTCTTGACAGTCTCCATCCACCACCGTTAAGTCATCCACTGCAATATCACCTCTACTGCCATTACCGACTGTTCCTTCTATTACAAACTAACGGAAATACAAAAATGCCATTGTTACATTGGTTCCAATGGAGCGTTTTCTAGCATATTTTTAGTACAACTGGAAACAAATTATTTGGTCACAGAGTATTGTAGCCATTTTATCCGTAACTAATCCACAAACTACATTATGTACGTTATAACAACCAGAGATCGGTTTCCAAATGAGGGTCGTAAAACCAAAACCAAAGTAATTACTAATCAGTCTTATAGGTTGCCTTGACAGCTTACTGTATATAGACTTGTACTATTCAGAGCCATCTGTCCAAATCTCCAGCGGTTTCCTTGATCTCCTGAGAGCCTCCAGACGAGTGTTTCTGATTGGTTATTTTTCAGATAAATACTCAGACTGCCAACATGTAACCCGTGCATGTGATACCAGAATTGAACACAAACTGCTTCACTGGGTTCTATCTCGTCGCTTAACAGCCTCGCCTCGTCTCCCGGGTTTCTCTGAGAAGCTTCAATGAAGATGTACGATCCTGCAAAATAGAACCTCTGTTAAAGTTTATGTATAAAGAGAAAGGCTCGGGATTTTTCCGCATTCGTACTGCTGTTAGTAGTATCATATTCACTATGCTAACTAGTGAAACAAAATAATTGGTTTGGTCGCGAAAAAAGATTTTAGTCATTTTACAATGCAACGAAGAGTTTAACTCAACCAAGTAGAGCTCACATGTAAATGACACTTATCCGTCTTATGCATTGTTTTTATTGTCTTACTTTTCTTACTATTATTCTATGGCTAGCTCCGTGAGCGGGAAAGATGAACCAAATTCGGTGCTGTGATAACTGTTTTACAATTTATGAACAAAATTTAGTAAAACATGATCGCTTTCGACAATGATAAACACAAGAGAAACACCAAAGGTAGTTGCTGACGAAAACTGTTATGAAAAGGTCAAGAAACGTTTGTTTATCGCTTGTTTGAGAAATTTGTCATTGCCTCTTTAACTTACAAGAGAGACACTTGTGAATTGTCTTACCATCTTTACTGAACGTGGAGTGATCATAACTCGGTCCAGTCTTTTCCGTTGGTGTCTGGCCTGAGCCCACGGTCCAGTAAAAGGTCGCATTCCTATCAGGTTTCAATCCACACTGTCCAGTTTGAAAACTGCAATGACCTGTTTGAGACCAATCGAGTGAGGAAGGTTACGAGCAATGAAAGGCGGAAGACCAAAACGAGTGAACGACAGTGCGAGAATAATTAACTTCTTCCTCAGTTTCATTTTGGAACCTCAACGGAGGACTTTCAATAGACAATTAGAAACAAAACGCTTAAAGCAATGAGCTGTTAAATCGTTGATATATATATATTGATGCAGTAAAAATCTGCGAAACTGTTAGTCAACAAAAAAACAATTTATTGAGTTGATAACATAAATTAGCAGTACGGGACTAGTCATGAAGACGGACGCAACGCTTCATTTCACACTGAACATTTTTACTTCTGTTACTTCTACATCGAAAAAAATTTACTCCGACGTCAAAGCTCAAGAGAGCTCTGCTACAAATCCACAACTCGATTTGTATAATTAAATTTCTCTAGTCTCTTGGGATGTTTCACTCTGCACCCTTTATATTGAGATGGATAACACAACGGTTTGTACACACAGTGTTCTGCAAAAGTAATATAAACGAGTTTCGTGGAATTTTGCTCATTGTTGTCAAGAAATTTCGTTGAAACAACAATATGATTTCGCCAAAAAGACCTCAAATTCTGTGGAAACGAAGAATTGCAAAATTGAATGTTTGGAAGTAGAACTTCAGAGTGCGAAAATAGACCATTGTATAGTTGTTCGCTCAATGACTTGGCCTTTGAATGACAGTGAGGCTGGAGGTGATCTTGTTTTGATACAGACCTCATTGATTTTGCCGTGTAAATCACGTTGTTCTTATGCTAACTAGTTGGCATTTAAATGAGAAAAGCAGAGAGGTCTGTATCAAAGCGAGGTCGCTTGCATTCATAGGTCAGGTAACTAAGCACATAACTGTAAAATGGCCTATTCGTGACAGCGAAATGTCGCAGTCATTTTCTGCTTTGTGTTTTCATATCTGTTCTGATGTGATATCAAATAGCGCTCGTTTGTCATGTTATAATGCGTTTCATGTCGTAGCCACACTTTAACGAAGCCATCCATTCATTGGATATTGTTTTTGCGAAATGTGCGATTCAACATTTCGCATAAACAATATCGGATATTGTTTATGCGAAATGTGCGATTACTATGACAGAGTAAAATAAAGTCAACAAAGATTTTTTCTTCAAGCTTTCTTAAATCATGCTAAAACTGACAATTGCATTTCAAACCATCTTTGCAGGTTGGTGAATTCATTCCCAGTTGAAAGCGGAAAGGTGTTAACTGAATCGAAAATGTCTGAATATGTCTAAAACAAACATGAATATGTTAATGTAAACGTGATGGAACTCAGTGAGATTTCATCTTACCTCGAAAAGATTTACATCTCGCATGCTCGGTGGAGTTACATGCTAAATTATTGAGGTGGCACTTTCCAGACCCTGCAAACGAAAGGACGAGCGAAGAGCATATGCAAACAAATCAACGCATGGATCTTTTTGGTTTAGATCAACACTGCAAAACTTGTCATTTCCATCTACCAACGTCAACACAAATTGAAAAACAAATTTTAGCCACGGAAATAGTGTCTTTTAAACGAAATCCAAGCGTTCAAGTTTCGTTTCTTTTGGCTAATGTGCTACACCTGACTTACCGCATACAGAAGGCGTGCTAGTTCCGTCTCTGCAGAAACTTGTTTGACGACATGTATTTGACCAGGAAATACAAGATCCATCAACACACTGATATCTAGAATGGCATGGATTCCCTGAAAAGTAATTCTAAACCATGAGAAAAGGAAAGATAATGCGCCCAAATCAACAAACCATAATAATGTTCATTAGTACTGTACCTAAGAAAAATATGCACCATCAACTTGAATGGCAATAGACAATTTTCACGATGACGTCTTTTGACAACATCAGGCGTCGTTTATCTCTCGTTTCAGTTGTGATTCTAGCCCTATGGGATGAAGTGCTATTTCCATCTCAGGGCTTATACGAGCTGTTACTTCGCCTGTATCCATCTATGAACCTGGGCGAAGAGAGGCACTGCGGGAACAAAGTGACTCGCCCAAGGACCCAAGGCAGTGACATGGCCAGGTCTCGAACCAAGACCACCCTATCCGGAGTCCAGCACACAAACCTGTGAACTGTTAGTTCGCCACACCTCAAAGCCAATACAGTGTTTCGATAATAGGCGAAAAGCGGTGTGATTGGCTCGTATAATTATTTGTGTGTGTGTGGTGTATGAGAATGCAATACTAACCCTAAACCACTACCAAAAACTACCTATGTACTTACGGCAATTGTTTTCGTCATCTCCGTAAGAGCAGTCGTTTTTTCCGTCGCACACATCTGTTGCCGGGAGGCATTTCCCCCCCTGACAGGTAAACATGCTGGAAGGGCATTCACAATCGTCTTCGTCTGATTCATCTTTACATGCAAAGTCACCATCACAGCGCAGATTTTTCTTGACACATTCGCCATTTTTGCACGTAAATTGCTTATCGCTACACCTGTGATCTTTATTGACAAAAAAAGAACACACACACACACAACCGAAATTTATATATTTTTTGCAGCAGTCTCTCAGAAATTATCCACTTCATGCTACGATTGGTTTTGAGACTTTCCAACGTTGCATCAGCCAACAGGTCAGTATCACCTTTATATGTGCTATTTATTTTTATATTTGTCTTAATTGCATCTGACCAAGCCACATACAGTTTAAAATCATAGCTAACGTAATTGAACTCGATCAGTGAACATTTTAATATTGTCCTCCGTTGGTCACGACAGCTTAGAAAATGATCAAACGACGAGACAAAGAAGTAAAGCGTGTGTACCTGGTTCAGCAAAGTAAGGCCTCAAGGAGCAGTTCTCAGTCGTTACAATGATGTTATCGATTGCGACATTCAACCCGGCATCACGAAAACCTTCTCCCTCAAAGAGTATCTACAAAACACGAAAAAGATCAAAAGTTGTCTTACAGAATAATTTGTTATCAACTATACAAAGTCTCAATGACTTTAACTTGAAAAACTGTTCACACACAAGGCATGAAATGACATGTTGATCAAACCGAAATTGCTCACTAACCTGAATTCCCTCAGCGCCTCGCCAAGTTACCTGAGCCACTGACCCTTCTTTACCGTGGTATCCAACCGTCTGCCATACTAATACTGACATTTCTCGCTTAGTTTTTCTAAGGAAAACCTTCAAATTTGACTTTGATTTAGTGGGCATGAGGTAATGAAACCGCAAACACAAGACCACGGATTTATGGAATGGTTTCCATGGCAACAAAGAGCTCTCCAAACGTGCTTTGTACGCGTTATCAATGTAAGCAAAACTACCTGAAAAAAGAGGGTAGCTTCGATTAGTTGCATACTTTTAAAAGTAAAAACGTCAATATTCTAATTCTAAAGGTCAAGAAGACGTGAAAATGTGGTAAGAACATCAGTAACAAATTCGCCCATCGGCCACTTGTTTTGCCACTGTTGACGTCATCTGTCATCTATTTGTAAAATATTCAATTACAGAAGCGTAGCTAGGGGGTTCCTGCGGTGCCCGTGACCTCCCCCGTTTGTAATTTTTTTTAAACAAACAACCTACAACAGGTGGCGAAAATGATATGACAATTTGGTGGGTACCCTCACTTTGACAGAATGTGATCCCCCCTTTGAAAAAAATCTTGGCTGCGCCCCTGAATTATCTAACTTACCTGGATATTTCACGAAGGTTTCATTTGAAGATAACTTCCATTGGTCTTTGTCACCAATGCTGGTCCAACCACAGTATCCAAGTTCAAAAGAGCATTTTTCAATTATTGCAGCTAAAAACAAAAGAACCGGGAACTATATGTAAGACGAGTGAAGTTTCTACCAGCTATATAAAACTGTGAAAACGCTGGAGTGAAACCGTTCTAAACATAAAGCAGAATCAAAAAGACAGTCAAATGTGAAATTTTGGCAATATTCTTGTGAATATTCTCAGATTATCGCGCGTGTCATTCCCGTTTTATTGACTTTGAAGGCGGAAAAGTAATTTTGGAGCCAGACTGCAGGCAATCAAGCCTGATATGACACACATAACTTTATGCAGAAATGTTATTAGCATCAAACATACGGCTAATGATGTTTTTGTTGTTTTATTTGTTTTTGGCTTGTTTTTCCGTTTAGAGGAAGGGAGAATTTAAACAGTTTGATAAAAGCATATAATTGTGTTGCATTTACAAATTTTTAACACCCAAAGTTTATTCCTTTCAGTCTTAGCCTGGAGTATCTTCTTAAAATTTCGCAAATTTCGGCCACAATATCCTAATAAAATATATTTTCATCAAAAGAAAGAGTGTACTTTTCAAACGCCGTTAAAAGGCAAAAAGCAAAATACTGTAGAAAAACGTTTACCTCGAAGATGGACATGACCTAGCGTTCTCTCGCCAATAATTTGACCTGGATTGTTGACAAATGAATAAATGACCTGTGAAAGAAAGTTAAAAAACTGAAATGAACTGAATGCGTATTTCTATCATGTTACGTTCAGTTATATTTAGTTATTCTGTCCCTTACAGTAGGTACTTCGTTCTGTACAGACTACACATTGTGAGGCAAGGTGGCCCCATGGTTAGTGCGCTCGTCTTCGGATCGAGCGGTACGGGTTCGAGCCCTGGCTGGAGACATTGTGTTGTATTCTTGGGCAAGACGCTGTACTCTCAGAGTGCATCTCTCTGCTCTGGTGTATAAATGGGTACCGGAGAATTTAATGCTGGGGGAAACCCTAAAATGGACTCATTTGTTCTCCATCCAGGTGAACAAATGAACACTATATGCTATAGATGCTATAGATGCTATAGCATCCCATCCAGGAGGGAGTAGAAATAATCGTAGTCGCTTCATGCAACAGAAACCGGAGGCAAACGACAAAAGTTGGTTATCACCTTATTCATACTTTTTTTTTCCATGATTCCTATTGGGATTGGTAAATTATTCTGGATGTTCGAGCCGAAAATTCTGATGACCATACCAAGTTAATTTGCTGCAACAGGTATAGAGAAGAAACATGTTTGACTTATTACCTTAACTGTAAAATTTCCAGGTTGTCTGTCCGTCTTAAAAGTAGTTGTGAATGATGTGTTTACACAGTTAAGCGCCAAATTCAGTGTCACATTTTGCTCAAGGGTGGAGATGTTCAGTTCCAACGGGCAATCCGGGCAATATACTCCCTCACAGCAGAACTGGTAAAAACCTGTTGAAATAAAACGATAAGAAACGACATGGTTTTTATACGACTGTATCTCTATAATTATGTGTGGCAAATGCTTTATAATTTAATCGAACTAGGATGCACAAAAAACCTGAGAAAGGCAAAATGGGGGTCGTTGGAAAATGCAAAGTGTTCATAAGAGCCTCCACAGACTACACATTTAGTTTTCGACAATTGTTTGTTATCGGCAACTAAATGTCATCGACAATTAAAAAACATAGTGTGTGAGATGAGTTGTCGACAACTAAACGTTACGTTTTTAGTTATCAGCAACTATAAGCAGTTTCCCTTTTCGAAAAGGGAAACTGCTTTAGTTGTCGACCACTGATAAATGTCGAGAGC